GCTCCACAATGCACATAGGTACATGTTATTAAACTTTAGTCTGAATATAAGTAATGTCTTTTTCTTCAGGTGTTTGTCAGTCTGGGAAACATTCAGGTAATTTTGAACTGAACCCAGTGCCTTCTCTTGAAAACGTCTTGTAAATTTCTCATCTGGAGTGCCTTCTCTTGAAAACGTCTTGTAAATTTCTCATCAGGAGTGCCTTCTCTTGAAAACGTCTTGTAAATTTCTCATCAGGAGTGCCTTCTCTTGAAAACGTCTTGTAAATTTCTCATCGCGAGTGCATTTTTTTTGAAAACATCTTGTAGATTTCTCATCCCAAGTGCCTTCTCTTGAAAACGTCTTGTAAAATTTTTAAAAGTATATTTATTACAACAGCTGTTTTCTCTGAGTTGTTGCTATGTGATTATAAAAGATAAGTAAATTTCAACTGTAACTCAGTAACATGACCTGAATTATTAATTTGGTGTTTATTATGTATACAGTATATATATATATATATATATATATATATATATATATATATAAAAGTTTCTTTTGAACCCTACCTCTACACCATTTTTTTTTTTTTTTTATAACTATAAGCTTGAATACACAAACTGTTTTCCTTTTAACAAAAACACTAGTATGTACTAAATGAACCTCTTTATAAATGAATGAACCATAGTATCCCACAGGCAATAATGGAGAAAATTATTTATTTTGTTCAATTTTTATTGAAAGCTGCTCAAATTATGTGGCAATAGGCAATACTAGCAATGGTTTCAAAAACACATTTTCCAAATAAACTTCTACAAAGTCCAGATGGTTAAAGTGAGTTCTGTTTTTTTTTTTTTTTTTTTTCAGTTACATTTCGATTAAACAAAAGTTCAGCATTGTAACCCTAAATAAAATGTAAAGAACACAAATATTGCCATCAAAATTGTTTTATCATTTGTATTTCTAAATCTATCAAGAAACGATGCATATAACTGTAGTGGAGTTGTTCCCAAATGGTGCAGCTCTCTTCGTAGGTACAGTGGAAAAAGATAGCAATTGAGGTGGAATGACTGAAAGACAATCAATGATTTAGGAACAGTTTCAAAAGATTGATGTGCTAAAAATAAATATAATTTCAAAATTTAAATTATTATTGATTACCTGTAATTGTATGCATGAGTCCCAGTATAAATAGTTACAAATAATCATTTATTGATTTTGTCATTGTGATATTTTTGCTTTATATCAAGTATTAAGAATATAGTAACTAGGGTCTGTAAATTGGAGAAGAGAGTTATCAATGATAATGTTCTGAATTCAAATCCACCATTATCTCCCTTTAATCCCCTCTCTGTTTTTTTTTATTTTTAAATGTACTTTTTATCACATAAAATTTGAGGTGTGAGCAAATTTTCATTTTAAAAATGCACCCCAGAGAAAAAAGTTTGTGAACCACTGCCTTTGTGTAAACCCCCTTGAACCAAGAAAAAAAGTTAAAGCCAAACATTTGGTTAAAAAAAGCTCTATAGTAGATATTCCAGATAGCAAGAATAGGATGACAAATTGTCCACAAATGGACCAATTATGATATGTAGTTGGTTTGGCTTTGATTTCATGAAGATGAAGGTCACATGACTAAAATCTTTCCCCTCATTGATGAGTCACAAGCTGCAGTCAGGGTTCGGGTCATAAAAACAGAATAATTTTATTGTCTTAAATTGTGCTGCAAGTTAAAAGCCAGTTATCTTTTTATTTGAGAAGACTTAAGGATTTCAGGTTTTGAGAATGGAATTTTTAAAGTTGAAAATTACTACTGGGAAACAAAGTTGTCTTCTAAATATCATTGACTTTTATCATAAAGGTTCTTAATATGACATGTTATTTCTGGAGACCTTAGCACCATTTTTTAGAAATCTCATTTGTGAAGATGTCTCACAGAAATCTCATTTGTGAAGATGTCTCACAGAAATCTCATTTGTGAAGATGTCTAACAGAAATCCCTATTAAAAGAAATAAAATGTTTTTAAGGAAGCTTTATGAATAAGGATTCCAAATTTATACATTTGAGTTAAAATTTTTATGAGGCATGTGTGAAAGTTTTCATCAAGAAAGCTCGTTCGAGGACCAGCATCGTAGGAAGCTCTATTAAAAGAGATAAAACATTTTTTTATGGCAGCTTTATGTATAAGGATTCCAATTTTATACATTTGATTTAAAATCTTTATTAGGTATGTGCAAAAAAAAAATTATTAAGAAATAAGTTTTCAACTGTGTAGTCACTTAGTTTTGACAAAAGCAATGAACTATGGAAATTTTGTACAGATGTAATAGTTCCACTATTTTTACAAATAATCAGTAAACCATATCCATCACTTATTCAGATGTTTATATTTTTTCTTTATATATCTACTATTATTAATATAACTGTAAAACAGGCAAACTGTGGATTCCAGGCTCATTTACTATTTACAGTGATAAATGAAGAATCTGTTTTTATGTCTCTATGCCAAGGGCAGAAAACCAAACACATCTTTTGGTCAAGGACCATAACTCATCTTAACAGCATTTTGGTTGAATAATTCTATCTTCATCTGCTGTAATCTGTGAGAAAAAGAAAAACCTCTTATCTCCTGAAGATGGCTGCAGAATATATATGCCAAGATGTGTTAACAACAGTAAATTTGCACATTTATTCAATTTTTGGATATGTTAACGACTCTGCTAAGTTATAGATAAGATCCAATAAAAGACTTTCTAATTTGAATTAACTTTCTCTTTTAATTCATTACTTTTTTATGCCATTCTTGGACCCTCTTAGCCCCATTTTTGGTTCCCCCATTTATGAACATTTCCAAATCCAAGATCTTAGATTGGTTCATTTCTCTATATCTGAATATATGAGCAAACATCAGTTTTCTTTTTAACCCATTCTTAGTTGGGTTAAAAACTTTTCAACAACTCCTCATATAAATGATACTATTTATTTTATTTTAGTCATACTAATTTATTATTTCAAACTATCCACCCCCATTTTTACCTGTGACAGCAAAGTTAATTAATTTGCCACTACTGAATAGTTTAGAATCATAAATGACCTTCACACATGACAGAAGTTAGTATTTTTGATAATTTTAGTACAATACAAGCGACTGGATGGAAATAAGAGTTAGACATTGGGTTGGGTGAGGGGAATAGTCTTATGCCAATTTTTTTTCAAACAAGAAACATTTGCCTACGTACCTTGCAAATCAACATTTGAAACCTTGACCGACTTTACACATTTCCCACTGGAGACAGTGAAACCATTTTAACTACGAGGCAGACAAAGGAGAGCATTCTTCTCACTTAAGTTTTTATCCTATAGAAGAAGAAAAACAAATTTGATAACTATTAGGTTAAAGTTTCTGCTGAAACTACTTTTCTTTCTCCACCAGTTCTCTTAGATTTTTCTTGCACACAACGGGGTGCTGAAAATTTTTTGGGGCCAGATCAACTTCTAAAAATGTGACCAGATTTTTTTTCTTTTGTGATTATTTTTTTTATATGCAAACTAAAATTGTTTTATTTATGGGCGTGCTGAAAATTTCTCATCTTGATCAAGATGAGATTGAAAATATTTCAGCACCTTGTATAAAAACTTACTTTGCATATAAGTAGGTACCACAAAATAATTGGAATTAATCCTCCACACAGACTATTTTGGAAAGAAAATTGGTTGTCTCAGAATGGTTCCATCAAATCAATTCATGATACATGTTCTATATACTATATTCTGTATATTATATACTATATAATATAAAACTATATATTATTAAATACTAATTTAATTTAAATTTATTAAATACTATATATTATTAAACCTATATGTTATATAATATCATGATGCACGTTCAAATGATGTTTTTTTTTTAAATTATCCTCATAGCAAACAAGGCAAATAGTTTGCAACAATGTTTCATCTTTAAATCTTCCGGTAATAGTATAAATCCTTGGCTTCTATTTTTTTTTAATGTTTAAATTTTATTTTATTGTTTTTTTTTTTTTTTTTTTCTTCCCCTACTCGTCAGTGTGTTTGCCCATAATTACACATTTTGTCCTAATCATTCTAACCTATCTAATGGTCCCGTTTCGAAAGAAAAATCAGAAAAGGGGGAAAATTAAATGTCTTTGGCTGAATCTTGAAAGTGTCTCGTCAGTATTCTCATGATTTAATGGCCGAAAATTCTTGCTTGATAAAATTTCTGAACATGGAATTGTTTTTCGCCACCATTCTTTCTCCTGTTGTTCTTAATTTTTTTTGAAAAGCATGCCTCCCAAATGATCAGCCCACTATTTGGTGAGGGCGGTGGATTGGCCATGATCCCCCCCCCCCCACCGGGTCGATGCTTGGACTTAAGGTAAGCTGTACATTGAGGAAGACTAGAAGCTTACACGTATGTTGGGGCATTTATTATGACATGGCAATAAATCCGGACAACCTTATTTTCTTCAATTTCTTTTTAGAATAGACAATGGGACTTATATAAGTTAAAAAATTAACAAATGTTGCGAAAGGGTAAATGCAAGTGTCAGCCAGGACTCTTTGCAAATTACCTCCCCTCTCATTGTTACCTCTGTTTTTGTTGTTGTATGTGTTAATGTAATAGGGTTGATAGGCTTTCCTACCGCCTGGTCCACACTCCTCCCCCTTCTCTTGAACATGAGGGAGGCTTACGCCTTGTTTCTTGTTTAGGAAGGGGTTTAGAGGTCTCTCCCTCTCTGGCCTCTGTATCTCCAGTTGCCTTGATCTATCCACTACTCTTCTCCTCATCCTTTCTTCTATCACTCCTATCTGACCTTGCTTCAAATTTTCTGTAACCCCTTGCATCCTAGTGGCTTTCCGCTTTGCTTGGGGTGAAACGCTTAAAAAAAAAAAAAAAAAGTTACAGACTTACCTGGTTTTTGCCCCAAGGTCTGTTCACAGAGCTGCTCAGGGTTTGCTTTGCAGCCTGTGCCTTGGATTTTCCTTGTGGTCTGTGCACATGGCTGCTTTTGCAGTCTGTGCACATGGCTGGCGGGGTTTTCCTTATGGTCCGCACATATGGCTGTCTGGAGCTTTCCTTGTGGTCTGTGCATGTGACTGCCTGGTGTTTGTTCTCTTGGCCCATGTATAGAGCTGACCCATGTTTACTTTGTGACCCAGGCATTAAAAAAAAGTCGGATTTCAACACTAAATAATCCAACAAGGGTTGATATATGATAAAGTCTACAAATCCAACCCAATGCACCTTTCTCAATATGGTCAACAATCTGAAATGAAATTAAGCCTGGTCATGGTTGGTGTTAAAATGAGATTTTTATTATTGTTTTATCCAAAGTTTCTTCCTTAAAATCTTCGCAAAGGATAACAACAGCTTTAGCTGGAATTTTCCTTAGAAATAAAAATCAAATGAACATTTTTATTATTTATTTATTTATCATGTATCAATCACTAAATGTACAGCATAATTCTAAAAGGTCACTCTCAGACCATACCACTTTGCAGTCTGGCGCAGACAGAAATATGTTGAGTCATAACACCTATCAGTGTAATGAGACATTTTGTCCAGTTAATGTGTGACATTTTGGATTCCCCCAACCCCCATCCACCTTCTTTTATGTATTTTTTTTAAAGTGAGGAGGTACCTTTTTGCTTGTCAACCATTGATTCATGGATGTGTGTATCTGTCTATATTTCTGAGATGAAGTATTATGTACACTATATACATTATTTGGACTATTGTCCTCATCTTTGTCGCCATATTTATTACAATATTTAGTTAAGTTGTATGCGCTCCAGCCTTCTTCACGTGGGTTGGAATGTTGAACTGAACCCTTTATTTACAGAACTGGGGTAGACTATTCTAAAATATGTGCCATGGTTGTCAAGTTATTTTTTATCTCCTGTCAATTTCCCAAAATAAAGGACCACTGCCTTAACCGGGTACAGTGAACTCACACTCTTTGAGTTAGATCCAGTGACAGGACCCAAAGAGTGTGAGTTCAATACCCAGTTAAGGCAGTGGAGAACTTGGGAACTGACAGGAGATAACTGATAACTGACATCCATGGCATGTGGAAGTCGAACAATCTACCCCAGTGAGTGAAATAAAGGGTTCAGTTCGACATTCCAACCACCTGAAGAAGGCTGCAGCATCCAATGGCCAAAACTTTGTAATAAATATGGCAACAAAGATGAGGACAATAGTTCAAATAATGTAAATAGTGTGTGTGTTGTACATATTTCTCCAAATCATTTGAAAGAATTATGCATATAAAGTTATATTAGCAAAGTACTGAGAAATCGTAAAATTTCACTAGAAACAAGGAAAAGAGTACGAAACTGTGACATCTGTCCTCCTGTACATCGGTGAGTGCTGGACAATCTCTTCAAAGAGGAAGAGGAGACTTAAAGCAGCAGAAATGTCATTGTACAGAAGGATGCTGAGGATACCATGGGCTGAAAAAGGAAGAGAAAGTTGAGGTTTCTAGGGCACATAATGAGAAAGAAGGGCTTGGAAAATCTGATACTCACAAGACAAAGGGCAAGAGTGACAGTGGAAGAGAAGGCATGACATACTTGATGGGCTTGAGTAAATGAATGGTAAAACAGGACTTGGGAGAAATGACAGAAGGACAAGGTTTATTAAAAGCTACATGGGACAGGGAGTTGTGGAGAGCCATAATTGCCTATGTCCTGAAGACACACATCATGTTAAGAAAAGTTAATATAATGACATTATTAGGTGACAATACTTTCACTGTATTATTTAACTCATTCCTAGCAGTTATAATATTATGCCTTGCTTAGGCTACTTACAGTGACATCATTAGAATTCTCTATGACAGACTACAGCAGACTTCTCTTGATTCACTTTGAGTGCTTTATTTAAGGCATGTTGCCTAGTTCATTTTTGTTACCAGGGGTCTCTTACTTACTCCACAGAACACTCTTGTATTGTTAGAGAATTGTTAACTGGTTCGTTTTGGTGCAAATAGGAAATTGCTTTGCTGTACTGAAAATAACTAATGGTTGTAATGGATGAGCTTTGTAATAAAGGATTATTCTCCTATTTGGGTTTCCCCCATTATGGACATTATTATATCCATGTGTTACGAGGCCCCATTTTGTCCTACTTCTTTACACTTACACTATAAAATACAAAAACTAACTTAAAATGAGGACTTAAATCTTAAAGATGCCCTTTTTATCTTACGAAAAGCTCCCATTCACCAAACCCTTTTAGATTTCATAATTATAGAATGGAACTTTCTAGAAGTCTCTAGAAACTTCTACTGGGTTCTAGAGGATGCAAAAAACATATATAAACAGAAGTTTGTACCAACTAGCCACTTGTCTCCTGAACCTACAGCCACGACTATTGAGGTCGACTCCGGTCCCTTTTGATTCATGAACAAATCTACGACCAAAAGTTCCGACAGTCCTTGAAAAGAAAACACTATTGGTAAATACTTCACCTTTTTAACTTGATATTATTGACCAAACTCCTTTATTTTATATGCATGTAAATATCTAACTATTTTTCTAAGAAAATAATATGATTCTTTGATTAGCGATGAATTCCAATCTGTCGCCTTAATCTTAACTGTATTGGATTCCCTCTCCCTCATATAGCTACATGTTAAGCCAACTACTTTTTGGGCTCTCACACGCTTATTAACTTGTTAGCATTTCCCAACATATATTGTTTAAACCTCAGCCCTACTGTTCTAAAAAATATTGTATTATATGTTAAATAAAATCCACTTTTCGTTATTACATGTAATCTTTTTCTTCAACTTTAATTCTTACAAATCTGGTTCTTCTTATTTTGTGTTGCGCCAACCGTAACACATGACATAACTTTATTTCATGGATGGGACAATGGCTGAGAAGAAAAGGTTTGATAAACATGCCTTGTTCTCAGAGAAAGTTTTATACCACTAAGCCATATGCAAAATTATATATACATATTTACATTTGTTCCATGCAGAGAAAATATAACACCTATGTGACAAGCAGTGTGAAAATTGTTAATCAGAGTGTTGAGTTCCAATTCCAGTTGGGTTTGTTATATCTCTTACATGGAAATAACTTTGGGAAAGGTCTGAATCCATCTCTTCTCCCCCAACTATGGGTTAATTATTAAGACTTGTATCAGTAAACCATTATTATCACCAAAAATAAAATTGCATGCAACATATTTAGATTTCAGCATTAAATAACCCATAGATATATTGATATGCCACTAATTTTGCATATGGCTTAGTGGTTTAAAACTTTCTCTGAGAACAAAGCATGTTTATCAAACCTTTTCTTCACAGCCATTGTTCTGTCCTTGAAATAAAGTTATTGTGTCATGGATATAATAATGCCTATAATGGGGGAAACCCAAATAGAATAATCCTTTATTACATAGCTCATCCATTACAACCATTAGTTATTTTCAGTACAGCAAAGCAATTTCCTATTTGCACCAAAACGAACCAGTTAACAATTCTCTAACAATACAAGAGTGTTCTGTGGAGTAAGTAAGAGACCCCTGGTAACAAAAATGAACTAGGCAACATGCCTTAAATAAAGCACTCAAAGTGAATCAAGAGAAGTCTGCTGTAGTCTGTCATAGAGAATTCTAATGATGTCACTGTAAGTAGCCTAAGCAAGGCATAATATTATAACTGCTAGGAATGAGTTAAATAATACAGTGAAAGTATTGTCACCTAATAATGTCATTATATTAACTTTTTTGTGGGGGGGTTCTTATATCTCTTACATGGAAATAACTTGGGAAAGTTATGAATTCATCTCTTCTCCCCCAACTATGGGTTAATTATTAAGACTTGTATTAGTAAAACATTATTATCTCCAAAAATAAAATTGCATGCAACATATTTAGATTTCGGCATTAAATAACCAATAGATATTGATATGCCACTAAACTAAAACAACCAATCAACATTTTTAATGACTATAATTATATTTAACAACTTAATAAAATGGCTTACATCCATATCATATTGAAAAACCAGTTTTTGTCTGATCACTGAAGTTAAGCAACATCAATCCTGGTCAGTACCTAGATGGTTGATCACCTGGGAATACTGAGCAGATATGGACATTTGAGAAAAACATCTTAGTAAGGAAGTGTTCTTTTCTTAAAAGGGAAAATAAACATTTGCTGTGATGCATTTTGTAGCTGAGTGGTAAAGCACACTGGATCAAACAGTAGTTTCTCCTACAAAGGAAGACACAGATTCAATTCCTGCTGGAGAGCACATTCTTCTTTATTTTTTGAGTGCACAGCGACATCAAACCTGGTCATTACCTAAATGGAATGGAATACCAGTTGCTGTAAGCTTGAACATGTGGATGGTGTAATGGATAATGGCTTGGAATTGTTAACCTTTAGCACTCTGTAGGTGACTATTTTCACCAAGCAAAATGTTAGTCATACCTATGTTAAATTTGAATTTCTTGTTTGTGTAGTCATATCCTTACTATAAAAATGCATTGCAAATGATTTTTACTATAAAAATGCATTGCAAATGATTTTTACTATAAAAATGCATTGCAAATGATTTTTACTATAAAAATGCATTGCAAATGATTTTTACTATAAAAATGCATTGCAAATGATTTTTACTATAAAAATGCATTGTTATATACCTATGAACACTAATGGGTATATCCCAATCCTCATAAATATGTTGAGATTTGATAACAGCTATTGAAAAGAAACTTTTAATTTTTGCTTTGTAAGTAATTTACAAAGTTAATTTAAGTGTATACTTATATTCAGTTTTTTTAAAACATGAAATAAAAAGGCTGCAAGAATAGGAAAGAGTAAAACTTGTTAGAAAATAATTATACAAAAATGCTTTTTCTAAAATTTTAAAAAGATTTTAAAATATTATTTAAAAAAGATTCTATAAATCATGTTATTCTATAAGTCATGTTGAATTTGAATTTCTTGTTTGTGTAGTCATATCCTACTATGGCAACACCTAAGACAATCATGACTGAAATTGAGAGCCAGGCTACTGCAATTACAGATATATAGAACTAATATATAAAACTATATTTTCATGTGATTCCAGGTAATACTTATAAATGATGTGGAGTGATAAA